ATTGTGACGGCGAAGACCGAAACTGGCACTCTGGCACAGACGCACATGCTAGGCAAAAGAAGAGAAGAACGAAGAAAGAATAAGAACAGCTGGTCAGGATCGGGTATTGTCTCGTGTTCTCTGTCTCGCTCATCACAATGGCGCAGCCGACGAAGAAGAAGTCTTACGTCCCGGCTTCGTCATCCAGGACAGCCGTGATAAGTGCCGCTCGAGGACGGCGTCAAGGCCTCCTCGGTGGCTGTTCAACTGTCTCCACTGCCACCACCGTTCGGGGACGGCGTCAAGGCCTCCTCGGTGGCTGCAGTACACGTTACCGGTACCATTTCACAAGAGACGCCGTCCACGTGTCCTTGCCTATGGATTCTGCCGTCAGCGCAAGCCGACAAGTGAACCCTCTGTGGAAAGCCACCGGTACGTGTCTTCGTGGTTCGTCGGCAGTGCGGGCTTCTCCATCCAGGAACGCCGTTCACGCTTCTTTGGCGATGGAGTCAACAACCCGGCCGCCGCTTCAGCTGCCCATCGGACCATCAGTGGACGGTGTCCATGCCTCCTCTGTGGTACCAGGGCATCACCCAATAGACACTATGCTACGACTTTGCGGCCGTAATACGCACGGGCTCCTGTCCTTTGGGAATGCTGTTCAAGCTTCCCACGGCCTGCATTCCCTGTCCGGTACTCTTCCAACACATAAGCCGCCAAGAAACGCTGTTCATGCTTCCTTGGACGTGCGTGTCACCACCGTGAGTACTACTAGAGCCACATACTTCACGGACGCGAACCAAAGCGGTTCAGAAGCCTCGTGGGACAGTGCCGTGGAGCTGCGGCGTACCATCGCACTGCTCCGCGCCGAGACTAACAAACTGACAGCGTTGATCGCCGAGCGAGCTCCTACAATGTTGCCAGCATTGTGTGACATTAACGCAGTGTTGGATGTAGCTGCCTCATACGACCTTGAGGCAAGCACACCGGAGTAACGCAGGGAGCTTCGGTCTTCTCTGATCGAGCTCTCACACCAGCTTGACTGCTTTGCGTCGGTGATCTCTGCGTTGCCACCTGCCACCTCACAATCACCAGCCGTCTGCGAACTACCGGAATTCCACGGGGTCCGGAACGACGCCGACAGCTTGGTGGCAACCGTCAATGCGATAGCAATGCGCGAGGCCTGGACGGAATCTGAGAAATGGTATGTGGCTATAGACCGTCTTCGGGAAGGTACAGCGGCGTGGCACCGGTATGAAGATTGGAAGCAGCAGTCATGGGCGGAGTGGAGCTTCAAGCTCATAGCTGCTTTCGGTCCGATTCCCTCTGCCACCTGCCCACGTAACTCGACCTTCTCTCAGGACGGAACTCGGGAAAAGCCCGACCTAGAGGATGCGATTCGAGCCCCTACCATCCTGTCATCTCTCGGTGACCAAGATGTAGGGAACAATCACGATCGTGTAACTCTGCCTTGCACAGGCATTTCTGCTGTCGTATTTAGAGCTCCTGAGGAGCATCGGCCCGACGGTGCAGCTGTGTCCGGCGGGTCCCTGATGGCAAGCTTTGCGCAACGCTCTGCAAGGGGCCCCAACGCATGTCGTCCGGTCGACTTAGAGGCACCGGCCCCCATCCTACTGGACATTTTACCACCTAATGAGACAGGTCTTTCCGCTGAGTCTAATAATATCCCATCTGACCAGACGGAAGAAGATATGCGTGTGACACATGCGCTGCCTGAATCGGTAGAGTCTCCGATTTTCGGAACGGCTTCCGTCGAGGATCTCCCGCCAGTACACAGCGCGGGTTCAAGAATCGCTGACTTTACAGTGTCCGGGAGCCCCATAGCGACAACGCTGCGCAAGTCGCGGACTACGCAAGTCACGGCGCAGGAGCCACGCCACAGGTCAGCACGAGAACTTCACCCCAAGTTCGTGCAGATGTCTAATCACACCGAAAAACATCTCTCGATCCGCAGAAAATTGCGCAGACGGCTGCATAAGATGCTACTCGTTTCCTTGCCGTATCCATCATTTCCTGCCCTGTTTTCTAAAATGTGGTGGGACAAAGGAAAGCGTTCTGTGATCAGCCTGCGACCATGTCGATCCAGTCGGGGCCGCCCGCCAGGACCCGCCCCATCAAAAAGGGGGGGAAAGGGACCAACCAGGACCCAGTCCCCACCACGACATAGCGAACGACCCGGGCGACATAGCCAGTGTCGGCCGCCGGATTCGATTTCGACAAACTTCCAGCGTGGTCGGGGCCGACCACAATGATGCAGCCAACCCCGCCCACCTGAAACAATGTCAACTGCTGCAGCTAGCCTCACTCACATGAACATTGTCGTGTGGCCCATCGACAATATATATATAAATATATATATATATATAAGAGAAAGAAGTGTATACCCAAGGGCTTGTTTTTCCGTGTTTTGACACAATATTAATGATGACGCTATGATGTGATGCTATGATGAATGGGAGACGTGGCCTGGCTCATACGCCATGTTTATTCTGTTCTCACTTCTTCCTTCTCTACCTCTACTAACCATCACTTCATACGTCACACGATTCCCCCCCCCCCCCCCCGAAAGCTGGCACCGGTTACAAACTACAACAAATTGAAAACAAAATAATGACCAAATTCGCAGTTTCACGTCCCGACGGAGTTCCACAATCTCGCTAAATCTTCAAGGCCGAGGGAGCAGTCCAGTGATTTTCATGACGACTCTGGTGGACGAGCTCGACTGTTGCGTTCCGGACAGAGCGGGCTACACATGGATACTGACAATATTGCTTGTACTCCTCTGGGGACTGAGCAAGGATGGAAGGCATTGTTGCATCGGTAGCTCGGATGTCGTCGGGGTTGTATTTTTCGTCGCGAATGGTGCAATCCCGGTGCTTGTTGCTTTCGTGCTTTTTGACAGACTGTGACGAAGTGCCTGAGTGCTTGCGGTGTGCAAGCAGAGCTTCCGCGTCTTTCTCGGCGTTTTCTGTGGTGGTGCAGTCGGTGTAATAGCTGAGGCAGGGAGTGTCTCTGGTGACTTTTCTTTGTGCGAAAGTGTCTGATGTCTTGAATCGGTCTTTGGTTTCGAGATCTTATTTTTTGATGTTCTTTAATTGGTGAGTGCACTTCCGTTGAATTTTGCGTTTTTCGATGCCCTCGTTGCAGTCTCTTTCGTTTTCTCCTGAGTTTGTGTACTTGGCTTTGCTTGCTTTGCTGGTGCTGCTCAGGAAATGGCTGTAGTGGCGCCCCTTCTGGAATTGGGCATTCATTTCCTTCGAGGTTTGATGCTTCCTGTAGACAGCTGATGCATGGTGAAATGGTGTCTTGCTTATCGGGCATAGTCGGTAATGCGCCATCATTGCAAGCATGCTCTTCAAAAGCTTTGGTAAGGTGGTCCAGTATGAACGCCTCTGGCAGACAGCTGCGTGTGAGGTTTGGTGTATGTAATACTTCTGCATTGTTTCGGTTCTTGGAGCTGTGAGCACTGAATGGGGATACCATAGGTGACGTGGCATTTTTAAGTTCGGACTGCACAGCCTGCTGAGCCATAGAAATAAAGTATTGTGATGAAAAACACCTTTTCGAGTCGTCATGGCGTGGTGGGGTACTTTCCCGATGCGTCGATGGTTCACCTATGGTGAACACGGTGTCCTTACGAGGCAGACGGTTAGCGTTACGAGCACCCGAGGAGCCACGTGATGGAAAACCGGTTGGTTGACCACGTATGCGAGACGAAAAATCAAGTGCATGAGGTGGGTAAGCAACGTCTCGTGTCGTGTGCTGGAGCGACGACTTTGAAAATACCGGCTTTCGTGAAGGGAAACCTGGTGGAAAGCTACGTTCCTTGAGAAATAAGCGTGGACTGTGACGGCCGCGTGTGGTTGTATGCAGATGGCCGGTAATGAGGAAGTCCTTGTCGTAGTCGTTAAAACAAGCAATCATCTCTTCTCTGATCTTTTGCCATGATTCGTCGTTTTCGAATATGTGTATCAGGTAAAACTTAAATGCCTCACCGGAGATGTAGTCGGTAAAGTTGATGATCATCTCCCGTTCCGATCATGATGCAGTGGTAGCGTGGAGCTCATACAGGTAGAACCAGTCCTGCACGGGTCCATCGTCCGCTGCTCCGGTGTACTTGGGGATGTCAAGTTCGGCCGATGAATCTGTCATGGTGCTGGTCGTTGTGTCCTGGTTGAAGATGAATCGGTAGTGGATGTATGGTCAGGGCGTCTTGTGGGGAGCTGCGTCGATGATGAGCGACTGATGAAGGGGCAGGCAGGTCTCCATCCTGTCGACTCGCGTGACGCTATGATGAATGGGAGACGTGGCCTGGCTCATACGCCATGTTTATTCTGTTCTCACTTCTTCCTTCTCTACCTCTACTAACCATCACTTCATACGACACACACACACACACACACACACAAACACACACACACACACACACACACACACACACACACACACACACACGCACACGCACACACACACACACACACACATATATATAAGGGAAAGAAGTGTATACCTAAGGGCTCGTTTTTCCGTGTTTTGACACAATATTAATGAGATCTAACAGACAGTAATGCCAAGGAATGTACCGGGGAAGTTATCAGAACCAATGGAATGTAAATAAGAAGAAAGAAAAGTGGATGAAAAAATAACCAGCCGTGAGCAGGAATCGAACCTACGACCTTCGAATAACGCGTTCGATGCTCTCTCTCTCTCTCTCTCTCTCTCTCTCTATATATATATATATATATATATATATATATATATATATATATACATTTTTTCATATGCCCTAGAGATACACCAAAAGCTTTGTTGAACTACGTTCCTGATGGCCACTGACCAGCTATAGAGGCTTGCCACATGGCCAGGTATGCCCGACTGCCACTCCACGAGTTCTCGATTTTGGCAGACAGCTTAGCCTTGTTATTTTTATAGAAAATACTTCAACTGCAATGAAATTTTTTCTGACCAAAGCAAACAAAGAATGTTTGTTTGTGACTCACCATCAAAGTAACAAGTGTCGGTGTCATCGTCAGGATTAGGCACGAATGGAGGCTCCTTGTCCAACAGGCTGCTCCACGTGACACTCTCGAAAAACGGCAGCAAACAGAGTTCTGCAGACACACAGTTAGGGTGGCAATAAGATGTAAAAGTCAAGTGATAATAATCTCGAGCTCCACTGGAAACAACCCAACGCAAAGCTATGATGAAGAGGTTTAAGTACAATTACTTTTGCTCAACAGTGCAAAAGTATTGCACGGGAAGAAGACAATCCTGGCCTGGGAAAAGCCTAGAGTACTTTCTAAGCATTGATGAGCTCTTGTCCCGTCAGAAAAATCGAGGCACTATACTTTGACTACGATAGCAATTATATGGACAGCCTCAGCGTATACGCCTGGAACAATCACTTGGGGGCGTCACCGCTGAGTGCGCATGCAGCGCCAAGTGGTAACTTCGTGCATTTTGTTCCTAATCCTTTGGTGGTGTGTAGCTTGAAGATGTGTGCAGAGAAAGTTGGTCCGTGACAATAGCAAAACAAAATGAGCTACGCTTGCTGTTGTGCAGCTACGCATGAATAGCACGTTGAGAAATACATTAGATGAAGCAGTTTGCTTTATGGCCGTGACTTGTAAGCTCCTAATTCCGTTTGTGAGAGAGAGCTCTACAGTGCCCTTTGACCAACGGAAATTCCAGTAAGTGTGCCACGCAAATGAGCGTAGAGTATGACATGCGTTAAGAGGCCAGCAAACGTTTTTCCTTGACAGACAATAAAAACAAAACTATGTGAAATGAGCGCATTAGTTCGTACACGGTGGCTGAATATGTACGAAACCCTCATCAAATTTTTTTCCACTGCGCAGATCTGGGCATGCACACTTTAGCAGGCTAGTTTAACAGTCTATTATTTGAAAACACATCTTTGCAGGCATACACCAACTGTACTTTTCTTCTGCTAGTTATCAGCGCACGAAAGAAAAGTAGTACAATATCATTGCACCTGCAAAGCTTTTTTTTATCTATTTATTTATTAATGCTGTCAACCCTCGCTTGAGGGTCATAACAGAGAGGGAGTGCAATAGTAAGTACAAACAGAAAACCAAAACAACTGGTACTGAAATAGCAATGCACACAAGAAACCAAAAGTGGCAGTAGTCCAATTAAACCATGACCAAAATAAGCATCAATTTCTCTGTCAAAAGATTGCACATCGGTACTATTAACAACATGATGGGGTAAACGATTCCATTGTTCTATAGCATCCAGAAAAAATGACCACCAAAAGATGTCAGTGTGAGCGTTGAAAGGTTTAATGGGGACATCATGATTCAATCTGGCGCTACGTTTTCCGGGAAGGCGTATGTACTCGTCTTTAAGTATTTTTAATATGCCTTGCATTATACGATATAACGTTTTAAGTTTTTGTCTTCGAATTTCCAGTGGTTCTAAATTGTATGAATTGAGAATCTCAGTTACTGAATCCCGCCTTCTATATCTAGAGCACACAAACCGTACTGCACGCCTCTGAATATGTTCTAACTTGGTAACCAAGTGTTTTTGGCGAGGGTTCCAAACCACGGAGGCGTACTCCAGTCTAGGTCTAATATATGTTTGGTATGCAAGCAGCTTAACGTGTTTCGGTGTTTTATGCAACTTCGCTCGAAGATAACAAAGTTTTTTAAATGACTCTGAACAAACTGATTCAATATGACAGTGCAAAGTTAAGTAGTTCGTAATTGTCACCCCTAAGTATTTAAAATATGCTGTTTCACACAGGGTGTTGCTCCCGATGCTGTACTGAAATTTGAGAACATTTTCTGATTGGTAATGTGTACATAAGTTGTTTTTTTTTTTAGGTTAATTTGCATATCCCATTCGCGACACCACAATTCCAAGTATTCAAGGCACTTGTTCAACTCAAGCTGATTATCAGTACAGCTTACAGGCATATAAATCAAACAATCGTCAGCGTAAAGTTTCATCTTAACAGGTGGCTTTACAATAGTACTTATATAGCTGATGTACGATAAAAACAACAGCAGGCCAAGAACGGACCCTTGAGGCACACCTGAAAACACATCTACCGTAGCTGAACGACAATCATCAATCCTCACCGCTTGCTTGTGGTTACTCAAGTATGCACCAATCCAATTTATAATTTCATCACTGAATCCCATTTTTCTCAGTTTAAGAAAGAGCTTAGTGTGATTGACGACATAAAAAGCTTTAGCGAAATTAATGCAAATTACATCAACCTGTTTACATTCGTCTATAGCCAAACTGAAATCATGAATCGTTTGAATCAACTGTGTCACTGTGGACTTGCCGCTTCTAAATCCATGCTGACAGTCATTAAGTAATTGATTGACCTCCAAGTGAACCACGATATGCTTTCATGGCTTTCATGAATTTCATGGCTGGTACAAAACGACGCAGCATTGACATTTTATCTAAACAACCACCAACCCACGTCACGTCCTGACTTGCTATGTGCCTAGCAGAAGCCGCCGCCCAGCACTTGACACACACAAAATAAAATCCATTAATGCACTGTGAGCGTTTCCTTATATCTAATGAAAACATACTTTTCAACATGTGCAAATGCTCATATTGGAACAAGCAATTGTGTTTTTCGTTTCGTACCACCATAAAGCTGATCTTGAGGGCCTTCAGCCCAACAGATATGTATAGTCGGGTACAACTTAAAGAAGGCAGGGGCTTTTCCCCTCAAAGGCGGATGTACACGAGCCTCCACCAATAGACCCACATTTTAAGTGAAGTCATGCGCCGGACTACACTCCAGCCGCTGACCCAGCCGATGGAGAACACGCCTAACATATCCACGCTTGCTTGGAACTGGGCCGAGTCCCGTTGGCTGTGTGCGTCTTCCTTAGTCGGAGTGAATTCGAGTTATGTGTGGTGGTCTGTCATGCTGAAATTATTATTGGGGGCGTGGCACCAGCTCGACTATGACTGAATCGCTCACGCGGATGCTTTTGCTTGTGCAGTTTCTCGTCACTTTAGTTTCCTGCCATTGCATTGCAAATTGGCAGAATGAATCTTGGAAAGCTGCATCTTCGTCTGGCGATTCTTCCATCGCCTATTTTTCTTGGGAAGGCATTGAAGGAGGTAATGACATAAGTGACGCACAGATCAGCACCGCTTCTTCTGAGCAATGCCAAATACCAGTCAACGAACCCTGGAACGTCACTGTGCATAGCTACAGCCTACATATACATCGGCATTTCAATGTGTCTCTGGGGCGTGGTACCGGCTCGACTATGACTGCGTCGCTCACGCGGATGCTTTTGCTTGTGCAGGTTAGTCGGAAAGCCGCATGCGATACTCAATATTTTTTATTTTGCCACTGCCACCTCCTGTGCTTTTCGATAGTGTAAGAGCCCATGCGTGTCATTCGCGACCCATATATTGTAGATGCTATCGGTTCAAGCTACTGCGCTGTTTTGCATTTTACTTCTTATTGTTACTCATATGCGGGGATGTTGAGACTAACCCTGGTCCTGATGATACCATTCTAAAACAGCTAGTTGAAGGCCAGAAAGAAATCAAGAGAAAACTGGGTACTATTGAGAAACATCAAGCTGAAAGCAAGTCTGCCATTTCGAGCCTCAATAAACGTATGAGTAGGTTAGAAACTGCACTCTCTAAACGAAGATTTGCAGGGTGTCGTAACGAAAGTCAAACAATCGTGTGAAGAGCAACAGACTCAAATAAGGTCGCTTGTCGACAAGGTTTATGAACTTGAACACTGTAGTAGGAGGTGTAACCTAATATTTTATGGTGTGCCAGATGACCAAATGCACGAAACATACAAAAAAGTTGAGAAGTACATAACTGAAATTTGCGAAACGAAACTACACTGTAATAAAGTCTTCATAGACAGAGCACATCGTCTTGGAAGGTACAGTCCGAATAAAAAGAGGCCAATAATTGTGAAGTTTCTCTCGTGCAAAGACAAGCAGTTGGTATTTTCGAATGCTAGGAAATTAAAAGGCATATCTATTAGTATATCAGAAGACTTTTCAGAGAACGTACGCAGAATGCGTTAACGCCTTTGGGATTACGCGAAGAAGAATCAAGGCGAAACTGACAAAATAAAATTTAAGTTCACGACTCTTTGTATTAATAAAGTAAAGTATATCTGCGATGCTGCCCTGGACCAGGTCATGTGGGCGGATTGACAGGATTCAAAAACGAATGCGTAGATTATTTCTTTTCTAATTGTGAATTGCAGAAGATTATGCAACAAAAGCGATGAATTTTTTAACCTTGTCGAAATGACTAGTCTGACTATCATTCTTGGATCAGCATCCTGGCTTCATGCAGATATTGCTGATGAAGAAGTATTTCCAAGTGGTTATCTTTGTTATCGCAGAGATCGATATGGCTTTGGTGGCGGAGTGTTTATTCTAGTAGATGCGACAATTTGTTCCCAGATAATAGATATTGAATTCATTGGAAGCGAAATGTAATGGGTAAAGACTAGATTGAAGAATGGCCGCTCAGCATGGGTGTGTTCGTTTTATCGTCCACCAGGGAGTAAGATTAACGTTCTTGAGGAACTTAGCAATGCAATTGAAAAAGTGGACAGTGATTACTTATTTATTGGTGGAGATTTCAATCTTCCAGACATCAATTGGTCACAGGCAGATCCAAATTCTAGTGTTCGCAGCTAGCCAAGCAAAGAACTGCTAAGGTCATGTAGCCTCTTTGGGTTAACACAGCTTGTTCTGGAGCCCACAAGAGAAACAAATGTTTTAGATTTGTTTTTTATCATTGCACCTGAGTCAGCATGATCAATGCTAGTGCTGCCGGGCATAAGTGATCATGACGCTGTCCTATGTGATATGAATTTGCAACACGTCAAAATTCCGAACGGTGACGCCCGTCGAATTTTCAGCTATGAGAAAGCACGTATCTCTGATATAACCCTCGCTTTAAGCTCTTTTCATGACACATTTGAGATGCAGGTGGAATTTATGAATGTTGAAGAGTTGTGGCAAACATTTAAAGAGAAAATGCTGGAACTGCGCGAAAAGCATGTGCCTTCATAGTTTCTAACTGCCAGACGCAGCAAAAGCAAACCATGGTATTC